CCTTTCGGCTTGTGACGTCATGTCAGTAACTCATTGACCCTAAGTCCTAAGAAAAATCCAAAAAACTAAAACTAAAACTAAAGAATCGTTTTTTGAGTTAGTGAGGAATATGACAAAGGAGACACAAAAATCGAGGAGATATGGATAAGAAAAGGAATTTTATATGAGAATGAATCACAAATGTGTACCAGAAAATGGAAAAGTAATTGGATAAAAGCTGGATTGAGAAAATGAGAACAAAGAGCACTCGATTTTGATTCAGATTCACATGCATGCCTACTTGTCTACTGCGTGAGGGAGTGAGAGCCTTTTGTTCAAATCCCAAGGATTTACCCACAAACCCTTTCACACCATTCATTTCTTTTTGTCAGCATATAAATTAAATTATTATATATGTGCCTCGATCCCTATTTTTCCTTTTCTCTAATCATAATGTCTCTAGCTAACTGTCACTGTGAATATATACTATAATATACCCCTAATTTTGTGTATACGGACTCGTTTGTGTATGACACAATATGGATCATAAGCCTGCTCTTAGCCTCTGCCCTTTGTTTCTTTAGAAAATGAAAAAAAAAAATTGATTTAGTATAATACTACGCATAGATTGATATATTGTGATAGGTTTAATGTAGTGTTTATGAATTAATTCATGCTATATCAATATCTCTAGTGTGTTTCAATATATCAGTTTATAGATGATGATGTAACTAATATGTATGTAGAGGGATGGTCAGAATCATACATAGTGCGTGTATACTTGTCACTCTTCTAAACTAATCATAATTAGCTAACGGTAATTTATTGGGGTTAGTAGCTTAGTTGATCATATAATGAACTATGTACTACCATTTAGTGCTTTTTTCTCTACCCAACAGAGGTCAACGTGTTGTTGTTCTTAGTTGAAATTCTTATCTGAATTTTTTTTTTAATCCACTAGAAAAACAACTGTAGAAGAAAGTGACGGCACTGTAAATTGGTCGCTGATTCCATCCTAACTATTGGCTGGCCGGTTTAATACCCAACGATGTTTAACAAATTAATTTTACGAATATATTTACGATATCTCATAAGATTAACAAGGGGAATGCTTAAAGCATGAGAACAAAAGTAATTGATACATAAGACGCACGATTTTTTGGAGGCTACCACTTTACCGTCCACGAATTAAAAGGTTGTCAATATCACGCCAATATCTAGAAAAATTGATACATTGGTCCAAAGATTCTAAGGTCTAATCCTAATAAGACATATTCATTCCATATTATCAAACTATATAGCAAGATTGAATATCTCAATTTGGTTGATGACGACGGTTTAATCTGCAAACAAATTAGCCTGCCCATATTTATTGTTATCAATTGAGTCTTGTATGAACGATATCTTTGTATACACCAGCCTAATCGGTTATCTTTAAAATTTAAGGAGAAATGTTCGTTTAAATGGGTCCATAATCATAAAAATATATATGTAAATCATGAACTTAATCTAATAAAATCATGACAATCTGATGTGATCTACCGACCTTTCACTTTCCTTTTATTTTATTGTAGTCCATTTCTATTGGACTGCTCATCAACTTCCCAACATAGAATATATATACCGTGTACTATAAAATTACGGCCGCAAACACCTTCTTTCCATTGATCACTTCGAAGATTAGTCACATAATAATATATTATCTACACTTGAGAAAACCAACAAGATATATGATGGTAAATGTATCAAGTTATCAACTCTTACAAAGAATTAGCCTAAAATTCTAATCAACTACAGAATATTTCTTACAAAGTTTTCTTACAAAGAATTTGCCTAACTATGGAATAATGCCTTAGAATATCGACAAATATTCAGGAGTTTGAATCGTGCCCAACTGCAGCAAATGACAGTGTTTAAGAGATTGACTGAAAGGGTCAAATAAGATGTTCCTCGCTGATATATAGGACTAAATGAATTAAATAAGAAAAGAAAGTTTCCTGAAAAAGAAAGAAATAGATTTGCTTTGGCTGAAAGAGTTAGCTTAGGATCTTGTCTTAGATTCTATCCTAACTGAACTTTGACAACGACCTGTATCTAGAAACAACCCTACATACGTTTATTGTTTCAAGTGACCAAAAGTTACGTATTTTAGCAAAAATGTATTGTAAAAGGTTATTTATGTAAACGAAAAACATTATTCCTCATATTTTAGTGGTTACGCTGGTATGGATATTATAATGGATAGGGAAAACAACTTGACAATTTTTATGAAAACATGGATATATAAAAATAAAAATGTTGAGCTTATTTTGTGGCAATTCACTTGAATATATCAACTAGTTATATTTTAAAAGGAAGATAAAATTTCGAGTAAAAACTTCAATAGAATCATATATATAGTTTTGAAGTACATGATCATGCATATATATAAATACAAGTGCAAACAAACTTTATAATTATTCGCAGCCTTAAAGATGCGAGAAAAGTTAATGATTTACAACCCACCTATTTGTGTTTACTAGGTATATTTTCTCGATAAGTTTGATCTGTAAACATCCGAGAGTTATGTAGAAAGTTATAGTACCTTTTGAAAAATAAATATCCACTATTCGAATTGGGATTATGAATCACAATGTATATAGTTCGCTCGAAATACTTTTATCTGCTTTTCTCCAATAACCTCACAGAAATATATTTGCACCCCTGAATGATCTCATATCCACCAATATATTATTACCAGCTGATCTTAGTGAATCAATAATAATTAAGAAACAGTAAGTCATTATTAGAGATACTCATAGGCTATATATATTAATCATCGTCGATTTTTTAATTATCTCATAGGCATTGATTTCAATTTTGTCTTTATGTGATAATGTTAGGAAATATCTATTTGTTTCTTTTTTAATGTATGAAAGTTCTTTACTTTATGGAGAATTTGAAGAACCCTAATGTATCCAAATTTTAAAGCTAACATTTACACCCATCAAAATGAAAACAGAAATTCACAATGTGGTTTTGATATGTCCTCATCATTATGTAAAAGTACTTAGCTAATGAATTGTTACATGTCTATCAAGTGATGCTATTATGGTAACGCCGGTGTTAAAATTTTATCGCATGCGGGAAATTTCCGACTAAGCAAGTTGTTGACATAGAAAAAACTATGTTTAGATTGGATGAGAAATTTGAATTGGCGTAAATAATGACTAATGAAAGCTAAAACAGCGGCAAATAATGATGAACGGACGGTGGATGAAGATCGACCACTTCTCCAAGTGACCCCTATAACCTCCTCTACTTGTAACTTGTCTCCCTATTCCACATCCTATTTGGTAACCATTAAGTCAAGATTTCCCATTAACCTTTCATTTTTAACTTTGATCATCTCTAAGTGTAGATATTTAGTACTTTATAAATGTTAACATGTACAAACAACTTTCACCTTTGGTGTTTGAAGAGAGATCAGAAGTGACGAGAAAGCATACGAGCATATCTGTATTTTGTTCGGGGAGGCTTAGTGGCTCATATATCTTGGGATTTTATTTTTTTTGGGCAAGATTGCGTCTCTATTACAATATATCAAATAATAGTTCCATACTATTATAATAATTATTAAATAACTTTAATTATTTAGTTTATTCTCCTTTTAGAAATTTCAATCTTTTCTCATTATTTTTTTATCATTTGTTATGTATCATGTTATGAGTAAAATCAACGACAGCATAAAACCGAGTAAGACCCTTTTTCTTCCCTTTATCCCTTTGTATCATTTCTGCGTGTACCGTACAAGTCCTGGATTGAAATTTGATTATGTATTGAAATCTTGATATATATGAACTTAATAATCTGTTATATTCGTTATACTTAACCGATATGTTCACATTGATACGATACTGATTACATTTAGAAGCTAACTACAATTTTAGATATATGGAGTATACTTTTTTGTTGAAAATATGACCCTAACCATCTAGTTATTACAGTTATTGCATGTGACGATATATACCTCAAAATTTTGTTTTAAAATCATATAATTTGGGAGCTTATTTGAAAGAGCATTTCAATAAATCGATTAGTGAAAATCCAAAGATTATCTAACAATTATCCAGAAACAAATTAAAAATGGATTAATAAGATGAAGAAACTGAAATAATGTAATGATGAGAGATGCACAAAACTTCTAGAGGTAAGAATGGAACAGAGAGGCTGATGATGGCATGTCGACCCACACACCCCCAAGTTGTCTCTTTGATCCTATTGCTTCTCTCATACTTATTCTCACATTTTTAATTTTAGTTTTCTTTTTGTCTTACTTTTGGGTTCCTTTACAGCTTAATTATTTAAAAATATAAACTTCTTTTTTGAAAAAAATTAGCTTTTCACTTAGTTTAAACATAATTAATGGTTTGATGGCTATTATTCGACAAGGGACAAAATTTTGTTTTATTTTACAGATAACAAGGCATTATATACATGGAATTTTCTTTGAATGGACGTAAGAGGACAACACTTTTCTAACAATTGTTATTTGTTTGTCGTCCACTTTTCTAACTATTCAAGATTCTGTTTGATAACTCGTAAAATAATGAAATTCGTGTTTTCAAACGGAATTCTGTCGTATTATCACATCCTAATCTTTTGGTTTAGTAAAGAGCTATGTACTTAAGAAGCACATTATTAGCCACTTGAATCACATATTCCCTCTATTTCAACATTTAAAATATTTAGTTAAAAATGCAGATTATATAAAATATATAAAAAGCATAACATAATATTTAACTAAACCAAATCATTCAACCAAACATAAAAGAAACCGTAAAATACAAATGATCACATAAAAAGCATATTTTAATAAATAGAAATTTGATAATACGTATAAAGCAAACCAAAATCTCTAAAACATTTCGATTTTAATGGGCTCCATCAACAAGTTATACAGTTGGGCTTAGACCCATTATTAAACTCAGTTTCTTCTGTTTGTTTTTTTCCAAGAATTCCAAAACAAATGAGGTTTTAAATCAATAAAACTGCTTAAGACAGTCCATGAGAGCATCAGTGTGCTCAGGCTTCCCAGCAGAAACTCTAACAAAGCCTTTAAGCTCTTTACTATTGTAATGACGAACCATCACACCCATTTTAGCCAAATCTTCTTTCAGCTTCTTTGCATCCATTCCAGATGTAACCTCACAGAGAATGAAATTGGAATGGCTCGGATACGGATTCAAGAAAGGAACCTCTTTCAAAAGCTCGAAAAGTCTCTCTCTTTCGCGCACCAACGCGTCTCTCACATCCTCCAAGTACTTCCCATTTGATAGAGCTGCTAAAGCAGCTACTTCCCCTGCAACAGAGACGTTATACGGCTGCTTTGCTCTCCACATGTACTCGATTAAGCTCAATGGAAACGCTCCATATCCAACTCTAAGCCCGGCCAAACCTGAAACATCGTCACAAGAGCTCTTAGAGAGTTTGTTCAGATTATTAACTTGACTAATGAATAAAAATCTGATCTTTTTTTTACCAGCTCGTTTGCTGAATGTGCGGAGAACGATAAGGTTTTCGTACTTCTTCACCCATTTCATCCTTGATTCAACTCCTGAGAACTCGATGTAAGCTTCATCAAGAACAACGAGGATAGGCATGTCGAGAATCCTCAACAGATCTTCCTCTTTGATGGTACTGTTAACACACAAAAAGATGAACAACAATCAATGAAGGATCTTGATCAAAAGATCTAACCTTTTTCTGTTTAAAGTTGTGTTTTTTTACTTTACCTCCCATCTGGATTGTTAGGAGAAGTTAGGAATATGCATTTAGGTTTCTCTTGTTCTACAACTTCAGCGATTCTGTCTACATTCAAGCTGAAATCAGCATTCCTTGGAACTGTGAAAGCAAACAAAGACCACACATGTCTAAGTGAGAAGAAGAAGAATCAAAGAGAGTGAAACAGAGGAAGTCACAAAGCTTTCACCTCTAATGACACCAGCATCATTCACAGCAGCATCAAACGCATACATTGAGAAAGTCGGAGGACAATCTATAATCTTCTCACCAGGATCCAACACGCATCTACAAACACACATTCTAGTCAAGCTTCATGTAAAAGGAACTCACTTTACAAGAACTAAACCAAGTCTCCAAGAGCCAAACCTCATGATCAAATCGATTAGCTCGTCAGCTCCACAACCAACAAGAATGTATTCAGACTCAAGACCAGAGTCTAGAGCAAGGGCATCACGAAGTCTCCGACTTTGTGGATCAGGATAGACATAAGGGAACTTCATATTGCCTAATGCTTCAAAAACCTACACAGAGCAGCATTCTGATGATAAACACTATAAAGGATTATCCTTTTGAGTGTGTGAGTGATTAGAGAGAAAGATTGAAACTTGCCTCTGGAGGAGGACCATAAGGGTTCTCGTTTGCATCTAACTTGACAATATCCTCAGGCTTTCTTCCTAATTGAGCTGACAATACCTAAATCACAAGACGAATCCAATCAAATCCGAATCGTATGATAAAGTCAACCATCAGGGGAAGTGTTTTGAGATCAACCTCAAAGGGTAAAATTGGTTGGTAAGCAGACAATTGCCTCAAATGTGGACGGATAAAAGAGTCTCCCATGATTGCTGTGTTCTTGGATTCGTCTACAGCTGGACTTGAAGCTTGAACACAGTAAACCCTAGTGGTGTTTTTACCGAAGGAGCAGAAGGGTTTCTTCAAAGGTCGAGACTTTCGTTGATTTGCTGCCTCTGAGCGATGAATTGAGAACGATGGAGAGTTCTGAACATTGATCACACCCATCAGTTTCTTTTCGTCTGCACACGAGGAGACTGGAATCAGTTTCAATTGAACATCGGATCTCAAGTGAAATGGAATCTTAAGGTGAATTACCTGAGAGTTGTTGAATAGAGAGGCCAAATGGCGTCAGTGAGAGAGCCCTAAGTGTGTAAGAAAGGGCGTCGCAGAGACCGAAATCGGACAAAAAGCTTCAATTTTAATATGACCCACTTTGTGATTCGCTGGACGAAAGTTGAAATTTTTATATTTCTGAAGTCAGTGTCTGACTGAGAATTGCAGTACCAATTTGGGTGTACCCGGAATTGAATCCGTGACCCGGTTCTGAAGATTCGGGTCTAAAATATTCTGAGAGAGAAATTAAGCAATTTTTTGTTGTTGTTATTACCGTTGGGAGTGCACAGTCGAGAGTTCGGTAAGAATCGTGTGCTTGTTGACTTCTCGAATTGTACAAAAAGGTTGCAAGTCTTTCAATGATTATACTAACCATTAAAAGTCTACTTTTTTTCTTTCTCATTTGATGAATGTCAATTTTAATTTCTCTCCCAATCTCCCAACAATTCCGGTGAAACCTTATTGATTCCTGGTCATTTTCATATATGTAAAGGTTGTAGCTTTATAATGTTACATCCATATTTATCTACTAAGGACAAGAGGTGGGAAAAAAAACAAACTTTTGTTTCTTTGCGAAACATAAACAATTACAAGATTGAAAGATATCACCCGATTGATCAGACTTTTTGTGATAGACTAATCTAGAATGGTCTAGTAGTGATCATGAAGATTAGTCATAGAATAATAGTTAAAGTCTTTTCGTTGACAAATGTGTAGTTTTAAACACTGTTTAGCTCTATGATTAAACAGAAAACAAAAATCTATAATAGTGAGTCCCTACGTTGCACGGAAACTCTAATCAGTGTGCGTTTCGCGTTTCGAAACGTTTCGGAAACGGAAACGCGACGGAAACGCGACGGAGCTTGTAAACGCGTTTCTTGAAATTGTCCATTTGGAAACGTGATGGAAACGCCCGATTCCGAAATGGAAACGCCATGAAAACCTGTTTTTGTTCTGTTCGGAACCTGGTTTCTGCAGCTGCCTTAGCGGCGGGTAAGCCCTCCTCGACAAACAAATGGAGAATTTTGAAGAATTATAGTTTTATTCGATATTCTAGGTTGTGATAGATTAATATATGTTCGATTCACAAATCTATGAAGAAAACTACTAAAAACGCAAAGAAAAACCGACATATGATGTGAAAATTGTTGAAGGTGGCCGCACAAAATTAGGGTTGCAGAAGGTGGAGAATCAGGGAAGAAGACGAAATCAAAATTACAATTATACCCTCTATTTATTAGAAATTAAAAAAACGAACTAAAATTCAGTTATCACTGTTCGAACTCCCAACATCTTCAAATAATGCCACTCTATAATCCACTGCACCACGATGATTTATTCGTATATCTTTACTGAATACAATATATATTATTAAACATTAAAATAACCACAAAATAAATCTAAATTTCTAATATTTTATTTTAGATTTTTAAATTTCACATAATTATATATATATATATATAATAATCATAAATATACAAATGTTTCCAAAACGTTTCCATTCTTATATTTTCAAAAATAACGTTTCTCGTTTCCGAAACGTTTCGCTTCCACGTTTCCGTTTCCGTTTCCATACAGCTTAGATAGTGACTTCAGAAAAATTAATTGTAGATGTATAATGCATACACCTTTCCGATCACACATTTCATAACTCATACAACAAATCTGCCCAAAAGAGTAATAATCTAGTAAACAAAAATGGAATTTTTCATATAAAACTCAAAAGTTTTCTGGCGGTAAAATGATGAAAAGGTTTTTTACTTTTTTTCGAATAAAGAAAACTCCAGCCTAACTATTTCACCCTCTTATTCTAACCCTCTTCCATTTTTCACCTTATAAATTTACACATGTTCAAATCAAACCCCACGCAAGAAGCAAAAGAAACCAAAAAAGTGAAAAACACACCAGAGGACCAAATCTGTTCTTAAAATTTAGGGACCTAAAATTAATTGCTGTGAGCCACACACACTTTCTCAGACAATTACAGTTTTTTTGTTTCCACAAAAGACCCGTAATTTATGGATTCTACCAAAAAAACCCCAATTCCAATAATGATCACCGTGGATGAGTTTTCGCCGGCGATCTCTGAGACGAACTCCGCAACACAAGAAACTTTCTCAAAATCCTGATCAACACCAACACATTCGGACTCTTCTTCTTCGCCGGCGTATTCTTCGTTAACTTCATCCCGCTCCCAACCGCCACAGACGACTTCTCCTCTCCGCCGTAGTCGCCGCCGGGATCGATCCTCAGACTCTGGCTTCTAGGCGGAAGTTCTTCGTTGAGATCTTCCCACAACATATCCATTTTCTCCTCTGCTTTATCGCTCCAAAGACTTCTCGTCTCCACATAAGAGAAGCTCTTCGTCTGTTCGTCATCACCGTCTTTTCCGATGATCAATCTCGTTAAACCTCTGTCGTAATCATACCGGCGAAACTTCTGCGACGAGTGTTTCCACAGTGGAGGTGAATCGAGTCCGGAAAATTGGGAAGAATCTTGTGAAGCGAGCGATGGGAAGCTAAATTCTTCGGAGGACACACTGTTCATTGCCATTTGTGTGGATTCAAGAAACTAGAAATTAAGTAGAAGAAAAAAAATTAATAAAAAGAAGAAAGAAGAAGAAGAAGAGAGGACAAATGAGACAAGACACACAGTTTGTGTTTTTGTTTGCTGATGTTGAATTCGTTGCTCTGTTATTTTTTTGTTCCTTTTCTAGTTCAACTGCTACAAAAAGTTCTCTTTTTTCTTATCATATAATTTGAGTGTTACAGAGGAAGATTTTTGGTTTTTTTTTGGCTACATAGTAGATGCGTTGAACTTTTATATTTATTTTGGTAAAACAAATTTAATTTTTGTCTCATATGGGGTTGCGATATTTTTTAAAGATTTTATTTCTCCAATCAGTCAACTGTTACTTTCCTTTTTAGGTATATGATATTTTATAGCCTTATCAGTAAAGAAGTATTTCTCTTTCTGTAATGCAAATGGGGGTTAACTCGATCAAAAATTTTATTATGACATGATCCGTTTCTCAGAGTTTTAGCTTGTAAACAGAACAGTTGTTACATTTTACATTAATGTGAAAGTTGAAACTTTACGTTAAGAGATTTAATGATATTTTAGTGATTAGCTTAAAGAAATGTTATGAGAGGGACACAACGCAGTTTCAATTTTGACATCTCATCTACCAGCGGAGTGATTGATTGAGGAAAGCTTAAACATAAAAATTTGTCTTTATCTCTATTATCATCAATCCAATGTTATAACTCCACCTCATCAAAACACTATTTCTATAACAAATTGACTAACACATGTGTTGCATTAACTTTTAAAGTCTCCATTTTCAAAGGACTTAAACCAACCAAACGTAGAAAACAGAATCAAAGATGCAAATCTTGAAATGAAAACCTTTTAGTCATATACTTGTAAAAGACCAAATTTTAAGCAAAACCCATCTCTGTTAATAATAAATCTCAAAAGTTCACAAAAGTTAAATAAAATCTTGAACAAAAATTTGGCTTTAGTATGAACAGTTTTTAAGCTTTAGTAAGAACAATTTTTAATTTGTTTTACACAAAAATTTTAGTTAATACAATTAAACTAATAAATCTCTCCCTCTTAAATGCTACTCCCTTCCGTTCCTTTATTAATAAATTTTCTGAGATTCTCATATATGTTAAAAAAAGTTTACTTTTTAGTTTTTAATCATAGATGTATAAATTTTTGCAATTAAACAGTTTTCTATAAATTTAAACTAATAAGAATTCTAAAAGCATAATAAATGTTTCTTGAAAAATGAAAAAGTGTATCAGAAAGTTAAAACATTTACTTTTATGAAAGAATAAAAATTGACTAGAAAATTCATTTTTAAGGAATGTATGGAGTAAAAGGTACTCCCCATATAAACTGATTACATAAATTTGTTGTTTTACACAAATTTTTTTCAGTTAATACAATTAAACTAATAAATCTCTCCCTCTTAAATGTTTACTCCCTCCTTTCCTTTTTAATCTCAGAAAAGTCAGCAATTTTCATGTTCCATGACACAATATATAAACACCTAACCAATAGCTAGCTAATCAGTAATCACGCCTTGGCAAAACACAAAGACATGGCAGCATCAAAAACAACCATTTTCAACGTTTTTGTTATTTATATCTTATGTTAGCTTCTCTATACCCTATATATAATTATTGATTCAATCGATTTTAAATTACCTACTCAATGTGTGAGTTATATAAACTTATGTTTGGCAATTTGTAGGCATATTGTTGGTGAACCTCTCTCAAATTCAATCCAGAAAATGTTGGACAACATTAGACTGTATAAAGAAATGTCAGGGTCCTGTTGAGGGATGTGTAGACGGAGAATGCATTTGTGAGAGACTAAAAGCCGAGATTGAGCCGACCAGCAAGACAGAGCGTGATTATCACGGTGATGGTGTTTCAATTTCGACATCTCATCTACCAGCGGAGTGATTAATTGAGGAAAGATTGAACATAAAAAACCTTGTCTTTATCTATTATCTATTATCAATAAATGTTACAACTCCACCTCATGTGTTGCATTAATTTTCAAAGTCTCCATTTTCATTTTTTTTCAAAGGACTTAAACCAACCAAACGTAGAAAACAGAATCAAAGATGCAAATCTTGAAATTGAAAACCTTTAGTCATATACTTGTAAAAGACCAAATTTTTTAAGCAAAACCCATCTCTGTTACTAATAAATCTCAAAAGTTCACAAAAGGGTTTACGCGTGGGTGTGTGCTAATGCCGTATTGTTTAAACTCACAGCATATTTACCTGTTTACTGATATATGAGATCTTCGTCTTCTTTGCTTCTTTTACCTTCCTCGATCTTCTTGAAACCATTGCAACACAGAAGAACCATCGTGTTCATTGTAGATCGAGACAAGGAAGAAAAGTTGAGGATCTCTCTGGCTTTGCAGTTATCAAAGCAATGAAGCTCTTATGGTGACCGGAGAGATTCTTGGCGTCTAAGTGGTATGCCTTCTTCAAACCCATCTTCGTTAATGTGCTTGCTTATCCGCAATGGTAATATTACCGATGAACCTGCAATAGCATAGCGATAAACAATCAGCTGAAAACTCTCAGACACTTCACAAGGACTTCATACATTTGGTGTTAAGATTATGAGATGAATATAACAGATGGCAATCCTTTTTCTGATCATAGCTTATGTTTGTGAGATCCTAGCTAGGAGTGTGTACATATATCTATATAGTATGTATATTCTAGGTCCTTCAAGCTGAGAGATTTCTTTATACAATAACTTGAGATTTCTTTTCATATCCGAATAACGTATCTTCCAGTATGGAAATAAGAAATACAGATGCAGAAGAAGTGACATGTATGAATAAACGTAACGCACCCTCGACCATGTCCTTCGTTCTATGGAGAAGAAAAGTGCCTGAGAGTATAGTAACAAACCCACACATTTCTGTGACAATCTGAGTACCGTTTTGCCGATCCCAGTCCTGTTTTAGAACATAAAAGCAGTGATTTTGATTCATGTACCAATGCAGCAAGAATCCACATACGATGAGATATCCATTTTGAGGTGGAAGGTTACCTTAAACATGATAACACTGGCTAATATAGTTAGTGATGTGAACATTACATAGTATATAGGAGATACTATAGCTGTATTGAATGTATCAAGAGCCTGCAAGTGAAGAGCATATAACGCAATTAGCTTACTAATTACCTACGTTAATTCTACAAAACGATAGTCTTAAACAGCATTTGACAAATACTTACCTTGTTTAAGTAGTTCAACTGCGTTATCACGCAGGTAAGTACGACTAATGTGAATACCCATGTTTGAGGATAAAATAACTGATTCGTTCCTGAAAACGTTAGCTTTAGTGCTATTCCAAGTGCTTTTACGCTCATTACCTGTTCACATGATTGAAAATATATAATTTTCAGGAACGTTGATCAGGGCCAGCAAGTTATGATTACAAACTGAAAACATCAAAGCACACATACCGATAATGATCCCACAAGCGAACAAATACCGATGTAGACCATTACGTTTGTCTGCCCATATTGGGGCACACAACGGACAATGAGAAATATAGCAGCCCCAATTATCAGACTCGCATAAAACATGAACGCTGCAACAAAACTAGACGAAGTTAGAAACCGTGAGATGGTGACCATCTCCCCATACAAAATAGAGAATCATCATCACAGTCTCATCAAGCAACGCACCTGGTTCTGTAGCAAGATTCCAAACTTCAATCACAGAATCAATTTCCTGTTCTTGAGGAGCGTGTAGTACAATCGTCGTGGAACCCACAACGCATAGAGCACAGCCAAGAACTCCAAAGATGTGTAGTTTCTCCCGTAATATAATATGAGCTAAAACAGCACTGAGATTCATAGAAGAACAATGTATAAGAAAAAAATCGCATAGAGAAAACCTGAGAAGAGAAAAGAAAACGAGTACTCTCTCTTGCCTGATAATGATACTAAGAGCGCCTAGAGGAGTGACGAGTATAGCCGGTGCAAATGCATAAGCAGCAAAATTGGCAATTTCACCAAGTAACACTGCAATGCAAGTACCAGAAAGCAAATGATAAATCAAACCAACAAAAATAGTATCACTAAAGAAAGAAGATTGACAAATCCAAGGAAAACAAAGACTCACTTGTTGTCATGCCGATCCACCAAAGAGGCTCGTAAAGATAAGAATACCCACCGACACCTGCGAGTATCAGATCGAATCATCCTTTGAATGCAAAAACCCTAAACGAAGAACATCTACAACTCTCGCAATGCAATCACGGAAACTATAAGCAATGTGGTGATTCAGTGAACTTCAACAGAGGAGAGAATAGTGATAAGTTCAATACAATTTACTAGAGATCGGAGCTGAATCTGTTCCTAATCTATCAGAGATACTAGCTGCTTGATCAATTTGAGCCTAATTTCGCACTCTACATGTACAGTTCCAGTAGCAAAATCAGATTCCAGAGCTAATTTCGATTTCAGCTACGAAGAGGAGGACAGGGGGGAGAGGGAGAGAGAGATGTTTCTATGTACCTGCTCTAGTGCCGGTGCTGGCGGCTTTCTTAAGACCTTTCTTCTTAACGATGAAGCTAGCTCCGATGAATAAACTTGAAGATATCGCCAGCACCAAACCCTTAATGTTATCAGACGACATCCCTTTATAAGAATCTCGCCACCCTCCACCACCTCCACCTCCTGATTCCGCCATTCTTCGAATCGACGCCGAATCTCTAAATATTCTCCTGCTTTATTATAACTTCAACCGACAATTGAAAAACCCAAAATCCGCCAGATCGGAGATTCAGATGTGAGAGATTCGAATCAGAGAAGAAGCGGAAATTGCATCTCCGATTACTAATTTCGCTGGCTCTCGCGACTACGTAACGCTGAGACGGAGATTCGAGTGAAATCGGAGTGTGTTGAGAGAAGATCGAGAGAGGTAGGTTTGGTGAAGGATTGAGGAAAGGTTTTTGGGGGAAAAAAAGGAAAACGCTTGGAGAGAGAGAGAGAGTAAATGACTCACTGACCCTACTGTCACTTTTCCGGCGCCACTATTTATTTATTTATTTTTATAGTAATTAACTGTCACAAATAACAAAAATTGGTTTTTGTTAGGAATTTTGAAGTATAAGGTGTGATCTATGTTATGTGCTATATGAAACTTGGCATATTTTTCACTACAAAGTTCGTTGATTCAAATCGATTTGGACTGTCCAATATAGTTGCAGTACTACCTGAATCAGTGTAAATCTTTGTTGGGGTTTTAACATCTGATGAAAAGAAAAAGAGGAAAGTTGCTTTGTGACAACTGACAACTATATAGGTTACATCTCCTAATGACATTACAAATATATTGATATGAATCAGTAGTTGCTAAGAATCTTAATTACGTGAGATTTGGGTTTGATGTGAGACATAAAACTGGACTTCACATAAATAAGTATATAATAAGCAAATTAATGGCAATATATAAGCAAAACATAAGAAAAAACAAAAAAAAAAACATGGTATACGAATATACATGCAAATATCTGATATATTCATCAGATACCATATCAAAAATTATAATCATAGTTATCATATATTTTTGAAAATATAAATTATGCCTTTGGTAAAAAAAAAAAGGAAACATAAAGGAAACAGAATAAATATGACAACATTATCACATTTTGCTAATATGTATTCTCTTTTTTTTAAAAATCACTTGCTTAAGACCGAAAATCTTAGAATCTACCAATAAAATGTGTGTTATTAGTTTAATAGACTATCTTTATTATAAAAAAAAATGTATACGTTTACAAAGCCATATCAGTGAGGACCATCAGTGACGTAAGGAGTCATAAGAGAGAGCTATAGAGCCCATCCGAACTGTATTCCAGCGGCGATTGAAGCAGACAGAGATGATATTACGGAGCGGTGCCGCCATACTTCGTTTCGATGCCAAATGGAAAACTAAATCTGGCTGATCGGAGTTTAAGATGTGAGATTTAGAATAGTAACAACAAGTTAGGACATTACACTATGTAATGTTCATAGTGTAACCATTTAAATGGACATTACATGTTTTTTTTTTGGTTCGAAATGGACATTACATTTTTATATTACAAAACAACACATTAAAAAAAGTGAGCATTACAACAAATAATAATGGTACAAATGCTATATCAATAATACAAGTGTAATGATAGTTTGATGAAGTAGTACAAAAAAGTGATGGTACAAGTAATTTTTATTTTTTACTAAAATTTGTAAATTTGGTATGTAATCTTTTGATTTGGCTTTAACTGTAATAATTGGCTATTGGCTATAAATAACTGTGTCTTTTCATAATTATTAACATATAGAGATGGTTAAAAAATCACTAAGAATTTGTTAAGAATAATAAAAAACTATATTCTTTTTTATTAATGTTTATTTGACTTTATGAAAAAAATTCTAATTAATAAAGTAAATTTTATTTTAGTAGACCTATAAAAATCAAACATATATATTACACCTAAATAAAAAATATATAGTTTATGAATCAATGTATTATTAAAAAATATATATCTCAAAATAAATAAAATAACAAACTATTTTTTCTAGGTGTTGTATTTGAAATTTTTTTATTCATTTATTCTTGTATCCAAACAATTTTAATCTTATTTTTATATTTAAACATTGCAATATACTTCTCGATTAATAATATAAAGATAATACAATTATTCATTATGCATGTTTTCCTAGCTATAAAGAATTGTCATAATCATTATCCGGAAATTCTATTTCACCAAAGCAAGAACAGTAAAAAAAATTGTATTCAAACGTGAATTTACTGATGGCCAAAACTAAATAAATTAAAATATATTTCAAATTGATATTGGTAACGAAGACAACAAAACTATTAGAAGGATGAAATACAGACGACCGGAAATTACTTTATTTTATCATTTGCCTTTTTATGGTTTGGTACACCAATACTGTATTTTGATAAGAAAACTAATGGAATCCTCCCATGGTTGTCGGCTTTGGTGCATCTGGTGACGGTGAAGGTAAAACAGTTAACGCTAATATTCCACTGATCACCGCCGCAATTGCTCCAAGCACAAAAACTGGTAAGTTTCCACCGCCAAAGAGAGCGTCAAAAGATCCAGCTCCGAGTGCTACAATCATTTGTGGTATCACAATTGCCAAATTTAAAACTCCTAAAGAAAGACCTGTAAACAAAAAAAAATATTAATTTCAAATTTAAATATATATGGTACAAGGTAAAACTTTTTTTCTTTAAAACATGTATGGTAAATTGCATAATAGGTGGATGAAATGAAACCTATAGATAATTGTGAAAAGATACTATAAGAACGGATTACATAAACATTTTCAATTAATATAGTTAAGCTAATAGATATCTTCCTATTAAATACTATGGGTAAACTGTAGAAATTATCCACATAAGGTGTAAAAAAAACGTTACTACAAAATAAAACATACTTTTTCTCATTAAAAGATGAACTTTATTCAAATTTTGGGATGTTACCTAAGAAGCCAACGGACTAATTTTGGTACTTTCTGTCATTTAACTATTTAAATCAAATGTATGAACCTATTTAAATGCTATTTCAATTGGTCCCCATTGTTAGACGATTGGATTTGTAAAGTAACCACAACAAAACTGAACATATGTAAATTAAATATTACTTTTTATCAAAAACTACCTTGTCCTGCGCCGGAGCTGCTTGAAAATATGGACGCTAGTGCAAAGGGAGTACTAAAAGTGATCTGTAAAATAAAATGATTTAGTTAATTTCATATTAAGCAAAACCAAAAAGTTAAAAAAACGACAAAAAAAAACAGATAAAAACACTTACAGCTAATGGGACACCAAGGACAGCAAAGAGACTTAAAGCTCCAGCTCTAATACCAGACGACGGTCCGGCAAACTCACCGGCTGTTTTCCGGTGATCCTCAGCCAATTTCGAAACGAGAACCGTCATGGCCAAACCCACGGCGAGCATGAAATTCACAACTCCCCAAAGCCTTTTAGCTCCTCCCACTTTCCTCCCAAGCCATTCAACAACAAGTGACATGAAACCAAGAACAATCGCATTAAGCATAAGACCAAACGCTCCTTGGTTCACTCCTTTGCTGTAAAGTTTCTGCTTCATTACATCACTTCCATCTGAATCTCCACCGTACACTTCACGACCCATCCAATCAGTATCGAACAAAAGAAACGGGAACCACGCGATCCAGTTTATGGCCGTGACGATTAGAAGCATCCACATCGGACGTTCCATGACTTTGAAAGCTCCCAAGATCTCTCCGAAGAAAGGAACTCTCGAGGAGGCCTTCTTCTCGTCGCCAGCGTTTACCGGCGGCGGAGACCATTGCTTGTCTTTGACGTAAGAGAGAGACGTGATGGTGACGATAAGGAGGAGAGTGATACATATAAAGAAACAGGATTTGAGATTCGCGCAATACACGTCGCAAGCGAGTGACTTCGTGAAAGGAAACCATGTGTGGAGGTTGTTGTAAGATCCAGCCGCGTATCCCAGAATGTTTCCAACAGCCATGAAAAACGAGAAACACGCGTTTGCGACTCGCGTTTTTTTGGCGTCTCCGGCGGCTAGATCGGCTAGGAAAGCGCGGGAAGGTCCTTGGAGGGTGTTGTTGGCCACGTCGAAGATCCAGAATCCTGTCGCAAAGATCACGATTGCTCGGACTTTTGGCTTTTGAAGGAGATCGTCTCCCATCTTGTGGCCCATATCGGCGGCGTATCCGATTATGACGACGGCGACTGCGACCAAGGCGGCTCCGGCGGCGATGAAAGGACGGCGGCGACCGTATCTTGAGGTGCATCTGTCACTGTGGTAACCGACGATTGGCTGAACAATGATACCGGAGATGGGACCACAGAGCCAGATTAAAGACGACCATTTGTGCTTGATTCCGAGAAGCTGGACGTAAGGTGTGAGGAGAGAGAGCTGTAGGGCCCACCCGAACTGTATACCGGCGGCGAGTGAAGCGACGGAGATGATTTTACGGAGCGGTGATGGTTGGTTGAAGTCTTCCGGTGAGGACTGTGTCTCTAGAGCCGCCGCCATTCTTGAAATCTTAATCCGCCAGATGTGAGAGATGGAATCAGAGAAGAAGCAGAAGTTGAATCTCTTCAACTAATTTTTCTGGCTCTCTCTCCACTATGAAAACCAGAGAAGAAGATATGGTGAAATAGGAGTCTGTTGAGAGAAGATATTGAGAGACGTGGTGGGAAGAGCAAGTGACTCACTGTCCCTACGGTCACTTTCCCGGCGCCATCATTGACTTTACTAATAAAATGTCACGAAATAATTTATTTGAAGTCGGAAGATAAACTGATCAATGTTTTAATGGCATATTTTCACTACAAAGTTGGTTGATTCGAATCGATTTAGACTGTCTAGTACAGTTGCAGCACTACCTGAATCAATTTTAAATCTTTAATGGAGTTTTAAGATCAATGATATACTCGAAGCTCATAATAGTGTGAGATATGTCGGTTTGTGGATGAAAACACAAATGTTTCAATTATAGACATAATTCGGTAATGCTAGTCTAGTGACCAAAAGTGTTTTGATTACATATTTGAAAGAACTTAGATGAGTAAAACGTCCATAACCAACATAAGCTGATGTTATGTCATTTTTTGTGAACATATGGACTTGAATGTTTATGCATGTTTAAACTCTTGAATACAAACGACAATTTAAAATCTTAGGTTGTTAGACATAGTAATTGATACTAGTCGAATATTTCTTGTACTGATTTCTTACGGTTTTACCAAAGCAAAAACAGTAAAAAAACTGTAGTTAAACATGTACTTACTCAAGGAAGAAAATTAAAAACTATTTCATATTGATATCTGTAACAAAGACAACAAAGTAAAAGAACAGCGAAATACAAACGAGCCAAGAATACAGTTGACTTTCTCACCAGCGATCGAGCGTAAAATAGCGATCGAGTTTATGGCATGTTAATTTAGGGAAAGATAAACGTGAGATCAAAAGTTTGTACATATTGTGTTATATATGTTCATGTTGATTTTTTTTTTTTGGTAATGCAATGGGAGACAGAGTCCCCTACGGTTTTATTCGAAGTAAAAAAAGACAACTACAAAATAACATCTCTAGGACGTGTAACCCCCCTCATGTTGACTGGAGATTATAATGAACACGAAAAAACAATCTCATGAGTCATAGTAGTTGTTTATAAGAATATTTAAGGTTAATGTATAATGAATTTACATGAGAATAGTTTAATAATATATAAATAAGTGATTTTGTTTTTTTTGTTTGGCTTACGACTCAAAGTATTTCAATGCCAACATAATTCTTGATAATACAACTATTCAACTTTTTTCCCTACTTTTTAATTAGGATTTCCTTTTTTGGGGTTTTTGTTTTCTTTCTCTTGTTGATCTTTCAATTACTAAAGCAAAAAAGTAAGAAAAAAAACAATAAAAAGACTATAGTAAAATGTACTTATTAATGGGCCCAAAAAAAAAAAGTCAAAATCTATTTCAAATTGATATGAGTAACATAGACAACAAACTAAAAGAAGGGTGAAATACAGACATCCCAATATTATTTGATTTTATCCCTTTATCGATTCTTTTGTTTTTGGGTTTTTGCAGTTTTGCACAATAATACTGTATTTTGATGGGGTTTGATAAGAAAATAAAACATATAAAACTAATGGAATCCTCCCATAGTTGTTGGCCTTGGTGCGTCCAGTGGCGGTGAAGGTAAAACGGTTAACGCTAATACTCCACTGATCGCTGCCGCAATTGCTCCAAGCACAAAAGCCGGTAAGTTTCCACCGCCGAAGAGGGCGTCGAAAGGTCCACCTCCAAGTGATACAATCATTTGTGGTATAACAATTGCCAAATTCAAAACTCCTAAAGAAAGACCTGTAAAACAAAACAAAATCACGTTTTAATTAATTTCAAATATAAATATTTGTGTTACAAGGGAATAAAATTTTCAAGTAATATAATTAAGCTAGTAAATCTCTCCTTAATAAATGCTATGGATAAACTTGTAGATATTTTGTTAACAAAAATTAAAAACAAAAACTTGTAGATAATATTGACACAAGTTTTTGAATATAAAGTTACCATAAAGAAAAATTTACTTCTAATTAGATACGCATAAGATTGGAAACATATCTATCATTTATGTATTCAAATCAAACGTTTGAACCTATTAAATGCTAATCTAATCGGTCCAACATTGTCAAAAGATTAAGTTTTGTAAATTGGAAACACCAGAAATGAAGATTTGTAAATTAGAAAACAAAATTTACCTTGGCCGGCGCCGGAGCTGCTTGAAAATATGGACGCTAATGCAAACGGAGTACTGAAAGTGATCTGTAAAATGACAACAAATAAAGTTTTAAAAAGTTAGCAAAAACCAAAAAGTTAAAAAAGACAACAAAAAAAACTGAAAAAAAAACTTACAGCTAATGGGATACCAAGAACAGCAAAGAGACTCAACGCTCCAGCTCTAACACCAGACGACGGTCCGGCTTCCATACCGGCTACTTTCCGGTGATCCTCAGCCAATTTTGTAACGAGAACCGTCATGGCCAAACCGGCGGCGAGGATGAAATTCACAACTCCCCAAAGCCTTTTAGCTCCTCCAAGTTTCCTCCCAAGCCATTCAACGGCAAGCGACATGAAGCCAAGAACAATCGCATTAAGCATGAGACCAAACGCTCCTTGGCTCACTCCAGTGCTGTAGAGTTTCTTCAACCTATCACTTCCTTCTGAATCTCCACCGTACACCTCACGACCCATCCAATCAGTATCGAACAAGAGAAATGGGAACCATGCGATCCAGTTCAAGGCTGTGACTATCAGAAGCATCCACATGGGACGTTCCATGACTTTGAAAGCTCCCAAGATCTCTCCGAAGAAAGGAACACTCGAGGCCTTCTCGTCGTCAGGGTTTACGGGAGGAGGAGACCATTGCTTGTCTTTCACGTACCAGAGAGAGGTGACGGTGACGATGAGGAGGAGAGTGATGGATATGAAGAAACATGTTTTGAGATTTGCGCAGTACACGTCGCAAGCGATTGACTTGGTGAAAGGAAACCATGTGTAGAGGTTGGTGTAAGATCCAGCCGCGTACCCCAAAACGTTTCCAACCGCCATGAAGAAGGAGAAACACGCGTTTGCGACTCGCGTTTTTTTCGCGTCTCCTGCGGCTAGATCGGCTAGGAAAGCGCGGCATGGTCCTTGGAGAGTGTTGTTGGCGACGTCGAGGATCCAGAAGCCGGTGGCGAAGATGGCGATGGCTCTGTATCTCGGCTCCTTTTTGTAGATGTCGTCTCCCATTTTGTGGCCGATGTCCGCGGCGTATCCGATGAGGACGACGGCGACGGCGACCAAGGCGGCTCCGGCGGCGATGAAAGGACGACGGCGACCGAATCTGGAGGTGCATCTGTCACTGTGGAAACCGACGATTGGCTGGACGATCATGCCGGAGACGGGACCACAGAGCCAGATTAGAGAAGACCATTTGTGAGGGATTCCGAGAAGCTGGACGTAAGGTGTGAGGAGAGAGAGCTGTAGGGCCCAGCCGAACTGGACACCGGCGGCGATTGAGGCGACGGAGATGATTTTACGGAGGGGAGATGGTTGGTCGAAATCTTCCGGCGACGACTGTGTTTCTAGAGCCGCCGCATCTTTTGCGGGTTTTTCATTTTCGAAAGCTCCCATTATCGGAGAGGAAAAAAAAACACGAACAAGACAAAATGTGTAAATTTGTTTAGAGATGGGTAAAAAAAGAAGAAAAGAGAATTTGTTTGTTTTCTTTTTTCTCTTTTTTTTGGTTTTTCTGTCTTTCTCTGTTTTTTTGGTTTTTTTTTTTTATGGAAGTGAAAGGATGTGTTTATGATGATGAAGGAGATGGAGAGAATGGTGTTGTATTTATAGTGGAATCGGGGAAGAAGAAGGAGTGAAAGTTTGTTATTTTTTTTTTTTTTTTTATTAACTTGGAGACGATTATTTTTCGGATAATAGGAAGACAGAGTAAGAAATGGTGTTAATTAGCGTGAGTGTATGCCAAGGTGGGGACACGTGTTAACTTTGCGCATTAATTATTGTTTTGTTTTTTTTGTTTTCTGTTTTTACGGGATTTAATTGGTTTCGCCATTCTTCTTGCATCAAGTGACTTGGACGTGTTCAATTTCTCTCTGACAGTTTTAGTTTTCTGTTATTTATTTTCAAATCAGAAAAACATTCCTACTTTTAATAATATCAATACGTTTTATTTTGGCTAAAACATATTTCCATGATATTCCTACTGGGTAAAATATTTTAAACCATGTTAAAATAATTAAAAATGTAGTTAAGTTCTATTGTAAATAAATATTATATTAGAGGAATACGGTTTGGTTTAAACTTTAAACCGGTAATTACTTAATTATTTTTGACTTACAAACCACTGAATTAATTACAAAAGAAAATAAAATATATTCAAATATGTGAAATTCATTATAGGTTTTACTTGTTAAATTATTCTGGAAATATAATAAAAAAATATTGTTGACTAAGAAAAAGGTTGACATATTGTTTGGCAAATAAATAACATGATTGTAAAAACTTCCCTACTTGTTCATATACACATATGCCATTTCTATACTTAAAAATCACGAGGTGTTTTTAACCAAGTTGAAAATCACGAGTTCAAGGCACATACTGTTATGTGGTTATAGTAACATACACTTGTCCTTTTTGGATCTTTAAGATATATTCACATCATCTACCATCAAAAAATCTCTGGATTAATGCTATTCTTATTCTTACATTCATAGCTGTGATAATCTCATTAAGATTCAACTTACCAAACACTTTCCAAAATTGATACACTCAGTCTTATCCGAATAATCTCAAAGATGGTACGTTATCCTTAGTGTCCAAGATATTAGACCCAACGCTTAATTTCCATTTTCTCTAGATACTAAAATATCTCTTGGTTTGATTTTCTTTCCAAAATTTACTTGTTCTTGTCATGAGAATAAAAAAGTCCACTTTTCAACCCGACATGAGACTTACAAAAAATATTAAATAGCCAAAGCATTCACTTGTTGAACTCTTGGATTCTAGTTGTCGTCTGCGAACTAGTCTCACATAGACTCTCTTGGCACTTATGTTTGTAGACTGGATAATGTACATGTTTGTCAAACTCCTTACGTTGTCTATTTTTACCCCTTCAGTCTCCACTACTTGGGAACTACATTACATTTGTTGTTAACCTTAAACCATTTTTCAACCATTTCTCCAACCACCTATGACCTATCTTAACCATATGTATAGATTATAGTAACAGATTATTTTACCCGTCTATCTAATTAGTAATATCCATAACAATTTAGTTGTAAACCGAAAACGTAGAAACTGCTAATCCAGATATAAAAAACAATGGATTTGCAGTTTTTTTTTGTAGTTGTCAAATGTTGGTTATATTTATCAAATGGCATATCATTCTTTTGAATATTTTCTATGTATAGTGTTATAATTTAAATTAGATTGAACTAACAGAACTAGCATACTTTGAAGTTTGAACCAAATTGGTTAAGCTATTTGATAAGTATACGTTTTTGGAAAATAAATTAACTGTATACAGTATGTTAATTAAAACTAGAGCAGATATCGATAAATAGATTATCCAGTCAAAGTCAACAATTATGTACATGGCTGGTTACTATTTTAGTAGTTATATATATTTGGATATAAAATATTACAGTCAGAAAATTAGGCAGATGAGAGGGGACATATTATTACGAAGATGAGTAATAAGGAAACACATCACTCATATCCCGATGATTCTCTAAATCCTATAATCTTATCATCATATACTTCTCCCATCCCTGTAAGTATGCTTAGTCATTAGCTAGAAATATTCTCTGTAATTAAGTAGATGGTTACAAGATTATAGGAGATGGCAAGGAAAAACTAAAACATCTCTTGAAGATTTGGACGGAAGGTGGTTCACGCAAGTATATTGGACTCCATGACTAACGTCAGAAATTAAAGAACCAAATAGTTTCCTTTGTACGTGATCGTTTACTGCAATGCATAATAAATAATTGATCGGCAAGAAATAATTCCCGAAGGAAGAGGGTAAAGAAATAATGATTAATTCCGTTGTTTCAGCACTTTTGACAATTGACATGAGCAAGCGATTTGTGTTTATTTCTTCCCAAAAAGACTATGTTTAAAAGCTTGATAGAATACAAAAACATGCTGTAATGTATCGCAACTATTCCAAAATGTGATGTATGAGACTTTGTTTAGCCAAAAATATAGCATCTTAAACGTCACCAATGTTTATGTTGTATGGTCGTATTTGAACGTTTATCCATAAAAGAAAAAACGTTCAAAACATGTAGGCATAAAACTAAATTGGTAGAAAGTGGTTTTTATCATTCATGACTCATGAGTAACAAAAAATCTCATCCACTAGTCTATATGAAATCAAACTGGTAATGCCTCCCGCTAAACAAAGTGGACACTAGACCAATGCAATTCATTTGCATATAGTTTCATGGGTATGACAATAATATAAGTAACATGCAATGTTAAATAACCACTTTTAAATACTAAAAGGTTTTCTCAAAATGAAGTTATATTTAAGAAATTAAAATTCCCCGAAATTTTAGGGTCGGGGATCGGGACCCCAAAAGAAGTTTATATAGTTTGTTAGCGTCAAAAAGTTTGTGGTTCGTCCCATCATTATGCACTCGTAGTTGAATATGACTAGGCAATGAGTGTTTTTCCTTAGTTTTATTTTTATTATATTCAACTGTTCATTATATTATTTTATAAACATAGTCATTAGTCAACATACTAATCACGGGGAGATCCTGTATTAGTAATTCAGAATGTTATAAAAATGTAAAAGGAAAAACAGAACGACGAGAATGATGGCTAACTAAACATATAGATAACAAAAAATTCAAAACTATCATCGTCACAAGACTCACAACTATTGAATACTTCACTCTCCCCACTACCGTATGATCTTTTTGGATAAGTCTAAATAAATTCATTAAATCTGCGCTGGAATCAATGAACCGGTCTTAGAGAATTTACTGTGGTAAACTATTTTGCTTACTCTACCAAAACCAGCACCACAATTTGCGAGTCGAGATTGAACTATTGAGGTATATGACCACTACAACGGACCAAATATAGTTATAAAAGTATCATTAAACAAAGGAAACAAATGGCATTATAGCGTGGCGTAATCAGGATCCCGGGATTGGACATTATTGTTGGTTTAGAGAAAGAGAGAGCGCATAATTATCAAAAAGGTAACGAGGGAAGTTGTTGACCCGTTGACCTCTGTATAAACACTCCAAGTCTCCAACTACAATCTGCACTCCCTCTTACAATTATTTTTCTTATTTTATTAATTCATTTTACGTGTCTAATTTATCTATTAATTAGCAACACTTCTCTTATTTTATGCAGTTGAAATTCTATTGTCGTAGGTAACCAATATAGCCTAATTACATCTCACACAAGACACCAACATGAAACAGAACAAGATCTTTTATAAGAAAAACCATTACCTGGAATTTGGTATAAACAAAATAAGCTTACTTACAACAAGTTTTTTCATTGTGGTTTTTCCACTAGCGGTGATTTGTGTAAAACGTTGATAATTTGTATCCTTCACTAATAATATTACCATTCGAACGAATCCTTAAACTTATAGGGTTCACATAAACACCTGATAAACTACTAACAAGATCATGATAATGATACAAATACTAAAATTAATAAACAAAAGGTAGGAAGGAAGACTTGTAGTAGCGTACGATTAGTTCCAAAACATACCTATCTGATTATTATATCTAGCCGTTTAAACTATCGCCAGAATAATTGGTGTGCGTTTAATATTTGATGTCCTTACTTCTATGTTGACAGTTTGACACATCTCGTGGACTTGAGTTGTATCTTCTGTTGTTTTCCTCTTGTTCTTTACTTCTATTTCAACTCTTAGTCTTAGATTCCCGTATCTTCTTTCGTTTGATAATATCATAAGAATAGTATTCCGTGGATTTTCTATCATAATTCGCTGTATATATTTTGTCCTGGAAATCAATAATGATGCCGTAAATGAAAGTTAATGGCAAAAAAACGTGAGATCATACATGCATAGGGTTTATAGACGGCACACACAAAAATAAAACTAACTGCAGTTTGTTACCTTCTCTGAACTGTAAGAACTCCTAAAATTAGTTAGCTAGATGTCATATTGCCATGCACATAATATTGGATTGTTTGTAGAATTTTCATCTAAAGGGCCAAAATCTGTACCAGTAAAGTGCATAAATATTATTGGATTGGTCGGTTGACAATAATAATCTTAAAAGAGAAAAGAAGAAGAAGGAAACAACGTGACAGTTCACAGTACATCATCTCGGAGGCAACTTGCAATTTGGAGTTGAGTAGAAATGAAGGAAGGCGGTAGGTAATAGCCAAGTGAAGGACTTGGGTTGGTCGGGTTTTTGATTGATATTATTGCCTTCAATTATCTTAGAAAGTTTTTTTTTGTTATGGGTAAGTGGATGCCCATTAGTTCCATAGGTGGATGTCCATTAGGCCCACTTCTCCCCAATGTTGATTTCCCTTGAAACCCTACTATGTGCTCTATATAAAGAGCTTTTCCCTCATGGAATAAGACAACCTTCATTCTCTCTTTCTCA